GAGCAGGCCTTGCCATTTGTTGGCTGGCAGCACCTTTGTGAGTCCATCGGCAATCATGTCGTCCGATCTGATATACTCAACGGTGATCGTCCCAGCAGCGACCTCTTGTCTCAGCCAGTGGGTGTGGATATCCACATGTCGAAGCTTGGTCTGGAGTTTTGATACTTCCTGTGTGACCAGTCGAATTGTCTGTTTGTTATCACATTGGATTGTGATTGTGGTGCTGGGCAGGTTGATCCTCAGTTCCTTCAATAATCGGGAGAGATACATTGCTTCCTTGGCCACTTGCGCGAGGGCTAGGAGCTCTGCCTCAGTTGTCGACGTTGTAACGGTATCCTGTTTATTTGCTCGCCACGCGATTAAGCCACTGAATAGCTTAATTGCATATCCTTGAGAGCTTTTCCGATCCAGAGTATTGTCGGCAAATGAGGCGTCACTGGCGACCTGAAGGGTATCTCCGCCTCCTAGCTGCAGGGCCTTTTGCCTTGTTGCTCTGAGGTAGAGGAGTACTCGATCAGCTGCGTCGTGGTGCTCTTGGCCTGGGTTTGTGAGGAATCGGGCCAATCGTGATGTGGAGAAAGCGATATCTGGGCGCGTTGTTACGGCGGCAAACAGTAGGGATCCGATCTTCCGTTGATACTTGTTGACCTCTGATGGTGAGGCTAGCCCTATGCGAGGCTTCAGCTCTACTCCAGCCATGGGTGTATCGTGTCGGCAGTCTGTTTTGTTGATCAATCGTTGGATCTTTTCAATGTATGCGGCTTGCGATAGCTGCATGAGGTTCTGGTCTCTCTGTCGGATGACCTCCATGCCGAGAAACCACTGTAGGTTATCACCTCCAGTCATGGTGTATTTGTTTTGTAGCAGGTTAACTGCTTCAGTTGCTACTGCCTCCTTGTTTTTGTGGTAAGCAACAATGATATCATCAACATAGAAGAATATCATAATGCCGTCCTTGATCACGCAGCATGGCTCATGTGGTACTATGGTGAAACCAAGGCTCTCCAGCGTTGTAGTGAACTCCTTTTACCAGAGCTTGGGTGCGATACGGAGTCCATAAAGTGCCTTCTGTAGCTTAAGTATGGTACCTTTGCGTTGGTAACCAACTGGCATCTTCATGTAGACTTCTCGATCAAGTGGAGCATGTACGAAGGCATTGGCAACGTCATACTACTTGAGCTCAAGATCGTACTTGGCTGCGATTGCCATGAGTATACGAAATGAGTGGCTGGCTAGCGTCGCGGCGTAGGTATCTTGCATGGTGATATTCTGCTGCTGATCACCGCAGACGACAAGTCGAGCCTTACACTTCAGGAACTAATTGTGCTTGTTCAGCTTGTAGGTGTATACCCACATGCAGTCGAGGATTTGGTGGCCTGCCTGTTTGATTGGCCTCTATTGAATCTCGATCCATGATTTCATCTGATGATGGCTGGCGAGATGCACGCGCTCAGCCTCCTTGAACTCATCACACATGGGATGATCGTCAAGTCGTGTGCCCACTGTAGGAAGTGGAGGCAACTCGTTTCTGTGAGGCTTAATGCCCTTGGTCAACAGTCGTCTGATCTGCGCCTTATTAAGGTGTTTGCCCTGATAATTGCCCACGCGACCTGCCTGGGTACCTGCCATGAAGGCGGCTGCCCATGGCGTAGTTTTCGCAGTCGCTGGAGTGATAGTTGATTGCTGATCGCGTACAACTAGTGGTACATTTTTGT